CTATACAAATACAGGCCATTTACCATTTACTATAATAGCCCTGCCATGCTGCATCACACTCAGTGCATTTCAGTCATTTCTTCAGCAAGGTTGATAGCTGGCAAAATAATAATAAAAGTTTCCAAAATCAGCATATTTTATGTACACATACTCAAAAATTATTTACTAAGACTCACCTGTCATGTGACTCAAGATTGCAAAATCCACCAGTGTCATTTTCCATCAAACACTTATTTTATTTTCCCTATCTGATAAGAAAACTATTTGGTCAGACAGTTATTTGTGGTGAATGAAATACAGTTTCAAGCACGTTTAAGCATCACATCTGAAATTCAAGCGCTTTTCAAACCTTGAAAAGCCTATATTCAAGTATTTTCACCTGTACGAACCCTGCCTGAAGCATACCCCATCCTCTCTGAAACATTTTGGAGTTGTTATGTCATGGGCATGTATGGCTGCCAGTGAAACCGAGCCACTACTGTTTACTGGTGAAGTGACTGCTGATAGAAGTACCAGGATGAACTGTGGAAGTATGCAAGGCTATACTCTCTGCTTCAAAAATATATTAATCTGAGCCTGGGGACTCAGATGGGGGACTGTATACAAATGGCTGCAATTCTTTAACAGTTAATGCAAAGCTTTTGTTTAATCCCACAAATCCCTCTGCTGTTTAATTTTACTGTGTAGGTGCACAGAGGTAAACTTACAAAAATTGTGTCACTGTTAAAAAAAAAAGCTGAACCTGTGGATCTAACCCACTTGCCCACTGGACTGTACTGTGATTAGCATCCAAAACTGTTGCACTCTCATTTTTGGATGCATAATTATGTTGAGGACAAAGAGGCTTTCTCTTTTAGCACCAAGTGCTAATGGTTTATTTCAGGGCATGCACATTTATGCTGCTTACCCGAAGCGAGTACATGCTCTCAGGGATGTGTGACGTGATCTTGTCTGGACGCTGATTAGTGTCATTCTCTGCACTGTAAACCTCAGATGGAATTCGGATGTCGTACCGATCCTTCTCAAAATCAAACTCTGTTCCAGTAGATGTCCTGACAAAAAAACAAAACAAGACACAGTTTATGTTATTGGTTATTAGTCCAGAAGACAGTTAGAATATAAGGGCAGAGAGGGAGGACTTTGTCATGCAATATTTCTTAGAACTATGTTTACAAAAAGTTAGAACCCTCTAGAAAATGTGAAAACAAATTGAAAGGAAGGATTGCAAAAGACCAAATACTGAGTTGGGAAGGCATTTACCTCGCTCTGAAAAGCAGTGTGAATAAGTGGTTTAGGAATAGAGAAAAACCAATTAACTGAGTCATTAGGGCGTGCATGTTTTGAACTACTATTGGTATGAAAATCAGAAGAATTTTCTTTTTGGAAATCATGGATGCATCATCCTTGAGGTAAATGTAATGGTATGGAGTGCATTTCAACAAATAGTGTGCAGTTGACATCCAGTTAATTTGCCCTCTTTGTCGTGCAAAGCTTCCAGATCTGTAAACTATCACTATTTTGTCAGGCAAACAAGAAAGCTGGTGATTTGATTCTTGTAGGACTGATGATAATCTGTTCATTTGTTTTATCTTATTGATCCAGTAATGAGAGGCTTTAACTAGCAGGCTTTAATTGCAACAGCATAGCCTCTGAAATCACATATGACCCTTTATTCCTGTGTGGACCACAGACAGACCTGCGGAGGTTCCAGATGATGATCCGTGTGCCAGTTTTTGACGTGGATCCCGGCAAACTAATTGCATGAATCTCTGAGAGTAGCTCTTCTTGTGTGCTGAAAGGGGAATACTGCAGAATGGCCTGTAGACTGGATTTCTGGTCCTCTCTTACACAGAGTAAAGGAGAAGTTAAGGACGGAAAACAAAGGAAAAAGGGAAGTATGACTTATGTAAGATGACAAAAAAAATACCCTTCTTAATGACATTTACAGCTACAAACCTAGCATATCTCACATGCTAGGTTTGTAGCTCAGTTCAAATTTTCTCCAACTCCATTCTTCAAATAAATCAGATCCTACTTGATAACATTTGGCCCGACTCCACTCATGTGAAGAAGAAAGTTTGTTCATGATGAGGTGCTGCTAATCGAATGAATTTGATTAAATGATGATCGACATGTTTGAACACTTCTAAAAAAGCAGAAGATTTGGCCCGTCTGAAGCATTCAGGTAACTTCACACAGTATCAGAACTATACAGAAAACAATTACTTTGTGTTATTGCTGCTAAAGATGTTTCTGCAACACATTTCTCCCACTGAAAACGCTACGTCCAGAACAGAATCAACCTTTTGGGATCTACTTACCTGGATGATTGAGCATGCATCAAGACACGTGTTTCTACAAGCTACTCAATTATGCATAAAGTGCTGGTGCACAGTGCCATGCATCACAGTTCTGATTATTTCTCCTGAATTCTTTTCTATCAGACACTACCGGAGCTCTGCTTTAATAGTCTGACTCTTGGGAACAATTCACAGTGCACAACCCTTTAAACATGGAGATAAAAACTCCAACAACAATAGTCCTGGTCAAGCCTTTGCTTTTCTACAGACCTCACTTGTAAACCAGTAGAACAGGACAACCACAGATCTAAATAAAATAAATACAACAGCAAGGCTGGAAGCACTTCAGAGGTGTAAGAAGAGATGAAATCAGAGTTATAAAAATTTTGTTTTAGCAAAGTTGCAGGACTTGGTTATCACACCTTTTATCTAGTCTCTAATTTTGATTTATTTATGTTTTTTTTTTTTAAAGGAATCTCTTTTTCTCTCTTTTTTCTCCCTTTTTTCTCTCTGAGATTTCTGGATTGCTCCTGTTCTTTTTCAGCTGACTTAATTTAATCCTGGAGTAATGAATACATAGTTGATGTATAGTATTTTATTAGATAAAGGATATAGTTCTTTGAGTCGCTCTCTTCAAAGGAAACAATAGGTACAATTATTTGATCTGCACCAATCTTTTCCAGGTAGGTCTGGGAGAGCATCCCCACGCATAAGCTCCTCTTCGACTTGGAGAAGACAATAGCATCTTTGCCAAGACGCATGGAGCCAGACTTGAAGCCATTGCCATAGATTCCAATTGGATCTTTACCGTTCAGGGGCATCTTGTCACTGTATCCGAAGCTGAAGGAGAGAAAATGCAAAAAATTCTTTACCAGTTTTGCAAACCATAATTCTCCCTCTGAAGGGAAGTAGTATGCAATCAGTTCCATTTGTCTGACTGTCTGTTAGCAGTCTAGCATCCACAGTTTTCAAGATATCATGTATAACTTTTGTCTGATGGCAGGTACCAAAAGCATCTCTAGGTGATTTAATTTTTGATTTAATTTAATATGGTCATGGTCAAGGTCACACCAAATGTGGAAATCAGTTCAAATGCTATCTTACGCACAATTTATCATGGCTTCAAACTTCACAACAACATACTAGGCCTCGGAAGACATGAGCACCTAGGTTGGCTAAGCATTTGACCTTAACCTTCATTGTTAGCACCAAATTTGTAATGCGCCTTAACATTGGTTGCCAACCAAGAAGAAGAAGAAGCTGTGAGCCAAGAGGGAGGAGGTGAGTGAGTGAGTGATTCGTTCGCTCTATGATTCAGCACAGGAGGGAGGGGGTGAGTAGCTCAAATGTGCTGTTAGCATGTTAGCAGAGCAAAGCTACTGTGAACCGAGGAGCTATTTTCTTGATGTGAGCTTCTACTCAGGGTTTTTTCTTCCAGTTCAGAGCAGAATTTTTTTTGTTAAGATACTGGATGTTGTGTTTTTCTCCACAATTTTAATTATAAGCTAGATACATTGCTGCTAACAGCAACAGGGATGAGTCAGTGAGTCAGTTGGGCTTGTGAATCATGATTCATGAGTCAGTAAAGTGATTCTCGAGTATTGAATGATTCGTTCATGATTCGTGCATCACTACAAGAGACCATATCGAGTAACACATGATATGAAAAGGCATGGTGAGAGCTGTACAATACACTTTTAATTTCTTCAATACGACACCCAATGATGGCACAATGACACCATAAAATTCTGCAAATCACACACTGCATGAATTTATGTTAAAATCTCAAGGTTTTACAAAGATTTCAATCTTCTGAAATCAGACTTTCCCCAAGTTTCAAAGAATGACACCGTAGTTGCATCTGTACCTGAGCATCTTATGCATTGTTTTGTTGTCCAGCCCATTTCCATTATCCATGAAGCTGAGGCATTCTTCTCCTTTGACCACAGTTTTATCAATCCAGAACTGTTTGGCACTGACGTCTGGGTCGTAGGCATTGTCTGTCAACAGTTTTAGGGAGCATTTAAAATCCAAATATGAACGCCAGAATTACAGTGTAGATGAGCAACAGGGAGAGACTACTTTTTTTTTTTCACAGAGGACCTATTTTTCTGCTACATACAGTGTACATATTAAACAGGCTCATAAAGTTAGATTCATGCAGAAATATAGTGAAGATACATTATATATATATATATATATACAGTGGGGCAAAAAAGTATTTAGTCAGCCACCGATTGTGCAAGTTCCCCCACTTAAAATGATGACAGAGGTCAGTAATTTGCACCAGAGGTACA